TGCTCCAGCCTCTTGAGAGTCATGTGCAGCTCCTGCTGAAGCACCACCACTGCAGAGGCTGGATGGGATTGATGCCTCAGGTTTAGCTTGTATAGTTTTTAAATTCTGTGCTGCTTTAGAGAGTAAGTCCAGGCTTCACATTAGGGGATGGTGAGCTCTCTTCACAGAGCAGGGAGAAAAAACAATTCCTGCTCTGAGGACCAAGGACAAATGATCCAAATCTCAGGCCCAAGAGCACAAACAACAGTGGAATAAAGAGAGAAAAACAAGCAGGATGGGACTGCGTAATGTAAAGTTATAACTGGACAATTAACTCCAAGATGCAAATGGAGCAGAACTGATCAAAGTGACAGACTCTGTGACCAGGTGTCCATTTTGTGCCCATTTTGGTTCACCTTGGGTGCAGCCCTGGCTGAGCTCTTGTGCTGCCCAAGGTGCATCCATGGAGGAGATCCTTTTAATAAATCCCTGCTTTATTCTTTAACTCTGTCTGGCCTCTGTTCTAGGGCAGCCTTCACAAGATATAAGGATCCAGAAGAGCCCCTTGAACTTCACTGCATGGCCAGACCCAGCAAACTCATCTCCATCCACCTCCTGCTGCAGGTCACCGACAGCTCCTCAGCCTCTGTGGAGGTCACCATCCTCACATCCCTCTCACCAGGCATTCCACAATGGACACAGCATCCAGATGTCACCTCCCCTCTCAGGGCTGACACCAGCCTGGTGGCCCCTTGCCCTCTCCTGTGGCCCAGGCTGGGGTTCTCCATCCTTGCAGGGGGAGCACCCTGCTGGCTCGTGCCCAGGGTGGTGCCTGCCACCCTGCCCAGCTCTTTTCCAGTAAGGCTGTTGTGCCACAGCTCCTAATCTGTGTCCTCATCCAGGGCCACCTGCCACCAGCACATACTTGAGGTGGGTGTTTGGCCCGAGAGCAGGAACATGTCACACATCCAGGGGTTCTCACCCAGCTCCTGCAGCCCTCTCTTGCACCACCCCTGCTTTCCTTGCTGCCAGTCCCCACCTGCTCATCAGGTGAGCACTGAGCTTTTTCCATTGCAGTGGAAACTTCAGCACTACCCATCGTGCTCAAGTTTAAATCATGGAGCTCTTCGTAAAATTACTGCCAGGGATTCTCTCTGAATTCTTGGTGTTCCTCTTTTAAGTGTAATAATGTCTTAATACTGTTCTGAGTCTAACAGGTGTTAGAAAGGATTTAAAGGAGATGATGGTGAAGGGTTTGGAGGGTCACACGGGGGCTGGCTGAGGTAATTTGGTTTGTTCAGCTGGAGCAGAGCACATTGAGATCAGACCTCACCAAGGGCTGCAGCTTCTTCTCTCTGGGACAGTGACAGAACCAGGGAAAGGCTGGAGCTGGGCCAGGGGAGATTTAGGTTGGATTTCAGGGCAAGTTTCTTCCCCTAGAGGTGCTGGGCGCTGCCCAGGCTCCCCAGGGAACGGGCACAGCCCCGAGGCTGCCAGAGCTCCAGGAGGGTGGCATTGTTGGGGTGACCAGGAGCTGGACTGCTGAGCCCTGTGGGTCCCTTCCAGCTCGGGATATTCCATGGTTCTGTGCCTCTTGTGCCTGCTTTCCTGCCTGCTTCCACACCTGAGAGACTCTGCCGAGCTGGCAGTGACAATCCAGGTGACCCCTCAGAGCCACCAACCATTCCCAAGCACGTCTCCCACACAGAACCATCCCGTGACCAGTGGGCCAAAGGTTTATGAGGTTTGAGAAATCTCCTTTTCACAAAGACGCCAGCAATGGTGGTGACAAATGGTGGTGGCAATCCTCAGCCCAGCCAGGCAGAAGTGCAACCCCACAGGTCTTCTGGGGAGAAACAGCATTCTGAATGATATGTACATTTAATTAAGATGTAGACATTAGCAAACAAACAAAAAAATATATAATTAAAAATATCTTTAAATTACTAAATCCGCTCCTGCTTTCACCTTTTTTGCTTCCACATCAAAAAGTCAGGCTTCAGTTATAAAGTGTATTTCAGTGAGAGAACCTCTTTAAAGAAAACAATCCATAATGATGAAAGACGTAACCAAATTTCAAGCAATAAAACAGCCCTTCCTGGGACTGCAAGCAGAGATATTGTAGTTCATTTAGTAAAGGAGGCATTAGTGAACAAGCTCTTGTATTGAAGTGACATGTCTCACATTTATTAAAGAAGAAATTGAAACTAAACTGAGAATCTGGAGGGAGGGAACAGGAAAAGGTGCCAACCCTGCAGGAGGTGCTGAGCAGGGGACACAAATCCTGAGGCTTCTTTTGGGGGCAATGGTGTGGAGAAGAGAAAACCTCCCATAAATGGGGATCCACACCTGTAAACTCTCACATGTTGGATGCTCAGTTACACAGTCAGTCTTTTATTTATTTTTTTTTTTTTAAGTGCCAGACTGAGCACATGTTCTCCTCCATGAAGGCCCCACAACACATGGGGAGGGGAGACAGGGGCTCCCACCTCTCTCCAGGAAAAGCCTATTAAACAACACTGTCACCCTGATTTTTAAAGATTTTCTAAGCCTTCTGATGTTTACATTTTTGTAACAAACTTTCTTACACACTTTATGTAAATAACTTATTATTTTGCATTATTTTATGGAAGAGAAAAAATTTAATAAACTGTTAGTTTGTCCAGTGTCATTGGAGAGGTGGCAACTTTCACCCTCCATTCCACTGTCACTTTTAGAAATCTGTAAATGTTAGAGTCAGAAATTAAAAAGTCTCTTTCACTTTTGTGAAAAATGTGTATTTTATGATTGGCTTTTGCAAATATTAAAATGAATATTATTTGTGTTGTGTTAGAAAGTAATGCTGTATTAATTTTCTTAAGCAGTGTGGTAAATATAGTTTTAGGTTGTAACAAAATGTTAAAATAGAAACTATCCTATGTAAGATACTTTTTTAAAGAGAGGACTCGAAGGGAGATAGCAGCCACAGGACACCTGAATCTTTCAGAGAAAGGGAATTTATTGCTCCATTATCTGAAGAAACGAACTTCATCCTGCCTCAAAGGTGCTGTTAGGATTAGAAGGAAGAAGGTGACACTGCCCAGACAGAATCCTGTGTTAGAATGGAATTTATGCATCATGGATGAGGTGTATGAATATGCAACAGGCTGCTGCTTTTAAGGGTTAATCCTCTGTTAACGTGGGTCCTTTGTGGGGCTTATTTTGCCCAGAAATAAGTACCCGGACTGTCCCTAACTTTCTGTTTCTATTGTCTCATATTGTCCTAATCCAAACTGTCCAAATTATTATTACTCTAATTATATTCCTAATTTTACAACCATTTTATTACTATTAAATTTTTAAAAATTTAAAAACAAGCGGTTGGCGTTTTTCACACCTTGAGAAGAGCAGCGTGTCCGCTGTGTCGCGTTGTTTCGTGTCACAGCACCTGCCCTGAGGTCAGCTCGGAGCTCCCTCTGGAGAGGAGCATCACCAGCCCTGCAGCGCCTCACACCTCTCTGCTGATAACACCTGTGCCAAAAGTGTCGCCTCCTGGTGTCCCCCATTCCACAGCGATCGTGTCACACGGTTTCTGGAACATCTCCTCCCAGCCCTGCAGCTGGGCAAGGGGAGCAACCCGGATCCTCCCCAGAGCTGCCCACTCTCGGGGCTCTGGGGACGGCAGCTTGTTTTCCTGGGGCAGTGTCACCACACAGTGTCACCACACGGTGTCACCACGCGGTGTCACCACGCAGTGTCACCATCCCCAGCGCTGTTCGCTCCGGGCACAGCATCCCGCCTTCCTCACAGCCAGGTGTTGGGGGCGACCCAGCAGCACCTTCTGGAAGGTGTCACAGTGTCACACCGCCCCAGCTCCTGCTGGGTGGCACCTCTAGGTGGGCAGGGTTTGTCACACACAGGAGTGACACAGGAGTGTGTGACACAGGTGAGTGTGACATAGGGGTGTGTGTGATACATGGATGTGTGTGTATAGGTGTGTGTGATGCAAGTGTGTATGTGGGACACAGGGATGTGTGTGTGACATGGGGGTGTGACATAGGTGTGCATGACACGGGGGGGTGTGACACAGGTGTGAGTGTGACACAGCGGTGTGTGTGACATAGGGGTGTGTGTATAGGTGTGTGTGACACAGGTGTGTGTGTGACATGGGGGTATGTGACACGGGGGTATATGACACGGGGGTGTGTGACACAGGTGTGTGTGTGACAGGGCTGTGTGTGTGACACACAGGTCTGTGACACAGGGGTGTGTGACATGGGTGTGTGTGTGACAGGTGTGTGTGTGACAGGTGTGTGTGTGACAGGGTCTCTCTGTGTGTATATAGGTGTGTGTGACATGGGACCGAGTGTTTGTTTATAGGTGTGTGCACCAGGCAGGCTCGCACCTACGGGTCTGGTGTGTGTGTACAGGTGTGTGTGTGTGTGTACAGGTGTGCACATACAGGTGTGTGCCCAGCCCAGCTGTGCCTGTACAGAGGTGTCAGTCCAGATGTGTGTCCAGGTGTGTACACCCAGCACAGGTGTGCCCATACAAAGGTGTCAGTCCAGATGTGTGCCCAGGTGTGTACACCCAGCGCAGGTGTGCCCATACAGAGGTGTCAGTCCAGATGTGTGCCCAGGTGTGTACACCCAGCGCAGGTGTGCCCATACAGAGGTGTCAGTCCAGATGTGTGTCCAGGTGTGTACACCCAGCGCAGGTGTGTCCATACAAAGGCGCCAGTCCAGATGTGTGCCCAGCACAGATGTGCCTGTATAGAGGTGTTTGCCCAGCACAGCTGTGTCCGCAGGTTCCCGCGCGCACAGGTGCCGCCTGTGGGCGTGGCCTTTCCCCGCTCCGCCCGTGGGCGTGGCTCGCACCGGGGGCGCGCAGTGGCGTGGAGGCCCCGCCCACCAAGGGGCGTGTTCCGGGGCGTGTCCTTGCCCGTGTCCGGGGCGTGTCCTGGGGCGTACCCGTGTCTGTGTCGGTGTCCGGGGCGTGTCCGTGCCGGTGTCGGTGTCCGTGTCCGGGGCCGTGCGGCGGCCATGGCGCGGGTGCTGGTGGTGGGCGCGGGGCTGACGGGCGCGGCGGGCGCGGCGCTGCTGCGCGGGGCCCCGCGGGCACAGCTGGCCGTGTGGGACAAGGCGCGGGGCGCAGGTGGGTCCGGCAGAGCGGGGCGGGGTGGGAAACCGGGCCTGGCGTGTGGCATGTGTGGTATCATGTGTGGTGTGGTGTCGCGTGTGTCGTGTGTGTCGCGGCGGTCTGTGACCCGCTGTCGCGCAGGGGGCCGCATGAGCACGACCCGCGCCGACAGCGGCAGCGCCGACCTGGGCGCGCAGTTCGTCACCTGCGAGCCGGAGCTGGCGGGGCCGCGGCTCAGGTGAGACCCGCCCCATTTCTCCCCATCCCGCCCCATCCCACCCCCATTCCGCCCCATCCCACCCCCATTCCGCCCCATCCCATCCCCATCCCGCCCCATCCATCCATATCCCGCCCCATTCCCATCCATCCCGCCCCATCCCATCCTCATCCCGCCCTATCCCATCTTCATCTCGCCCCATCCATCCCGCCCCCATCCATCCCCGTCCCGCCCCATCCATCCCGCTCCCATCCCTCCCTATCCCGCCCCCATCCCGCTCCATCCCGCCCCATTCCGCCCCATCTATCCCTCTCCCATCTCGCTCCATCCCATTCCATCCATCCCATCCTCATCCCGCCCCATCCATCCCGCCCCCATCCCTCCTCCATCCCGCCCCATCCCTCCTCCATCCCGCCCCATCCCATCCTCATCCCGCCTCCATCCATCCCGCCCTCATCCCGCTCCATCCCGCCCCATCCGTCCCGCCCCATCCCGCCCCATCCATCCCGCCCCCATCCCTCCTCCATCCCGCCCCATCCCATCCTCATCCCGCCCATCCCGCGGTGTCGCAGGGGTTGGTGGCCCGTGGGGACACTTCAGGACCCCGCTGCTGGTGCTTTAACCCCCGCCACACCCAGACCCCCGCAGCCGCTCACTCTCTGCCCTCCCTGCGGGATTTAGGGCAGGAATGCAGGGGTGAAAACTGGGAAACTTCGCGTGGGTTGGGATGAAAGGTGCAGGGGTACCTTGGGGAGGGGGACGGAGGTGTTGCAGCGCTCTAAAAATACAGAATTTTGCCTGGAAAGCAGCGAAAAAGCAGGAGCGTTTCAGGCACCTGGAATATTCCTGCGCTCCGCAGGGGCTGGAGTTCGGGCTGGTGTTCATAGATTTAGGGAACCGCTGTGTATTCCTCTGCCTCCGGCCTAGCTGCTGACAATTCCATCACAGGTAGCTTTGCTGTCAGGTAAAAGGCCAGGCCCAATGCAATTAGCAAGGTAATTTGGTTTTTTATTGCTGCATTTATGCATAACCTGCCTTGAAACGCAGCCTGTTAAAATTCAGGCTGGTCTTAACTTCGATTGTGAGAAACGGAGCCAGTTTTCATGTGTATTTCCGTGCATTCATCTGTGGGTTTCTCAGTCCTTTTCCTTGTGGGTTTCTCAATCCATTTCCTTGTGGATTTGTCCCTTTCTAGTTTCTACGAGGAGCTTGTCACCCACGGCATCCTGAAGCCGCTGACGGCTCCCGTGGAGGGACTGGTGGAGAGAGAAGGCTCCCGCAATTTCGTGGCACCCCAGGGCATCTCCTCGGTTGTCAAGTACTATTTGGAGCAGTCAGGTAACGCCTTTGAGTGCCTTTGTGTGAAGGGAAAGGTTTTAATTGTTGTGTTTTTGGCGGTGCCTTTGGAATTTACATCCCTGATGAGGATGTTTGTGTTCCTCGTTGGTTTATGTGTGTCTGGAAGTCGCTTGGGTGGATTAAAGTGTCTGTGAGCTCGGTGAATTTCCAAGTCCTGCAGGTATAAAAGTCTTTACGCAAATAGAATATCTGATGTGTAACTGGGGGCAGAGGGGTGAGCTGCACCCTGTGTTTTGGGGGAAGGATGTGAGCCTGCTGGGTGGAGCAGGAAAATGAGTTTAAACTTTCTAACTACTACCTTGGATGGAAAATGAGTTTAAACTTTCTAACTACTACCTTAGATGTCATGTGCCACAACCACATGTACAGTTCAATGACTAATTTAACCCTGTTTAGCAAAGTTTGAGCCATGAGAGCAGTCAAACCTTGGTCCCTTTATGCAATTGCTTTATTTTTATTTTTAATCAGCTGATTGTTTTTAAACCCCGATCTTGTAAATAATTAGCTATAATTGCAGCGGGAAGCCATTCCCCCTTGTCCCCCTTGCAATAACTCTCTCTGTGTGCATTTTCCCTGTGGAATTCCCTGCTGTGAGGTATTTATCTGCTGCTTTTTCCCCCATCCAGGTGCAGACGTGTCCTATGAGCAGCAGGTAACTCACATTTCCCTGCGGGATGGCAGGTGGGAAGTCTCCAGGAAAGCTGGGCCCCCGGAGCAGTTTGATGTGGTAATTCTCACCATGCCTGTCCCACAGATTCTCCAGCTGCAGGGTGACATTGTCAACAGTAAGTTCAGCCCTCAGGATGGCAGGTGTTGAATTTAAAATAGCATTTGAGCATCTCCTGAAGCGAAAAAATGACACTCAGCAGTCTGAGCTGCTTAATTATTCCATCAGGACAGGCTGGAGAATGATAAGAGGTGGGTAACTTCGAGGCACTTTGACAGCATAAAATATCTAAATGGATGAGTCAGTTTTGAATCTGATCTTTGATTTTTTTTGCTGACTTCTAAAGCAGGGCTTGTCTTTGTGCAGCTTGCAAATAGTTACTGAATTGCACAGGTTTTCTTGGGCATTTCTGTAAAGAGAAGTGTCTTCATTGCAACCTCTGATTTTAAGCTTTGTGCCTAAGTGGGTAAATATTCTGTAAGAATAGGACTTCTCTGCTGGTTGCTGTTTTATGAGGCATCCCGTTTACCCTGGAAAATAATGGTGAGTTTGGCCCAGGTGAGGTGGTCTGATTAATAGTGAAAGAAATAAAAATAAAATAAGAAATAGCATAGAAAAATAGAAATAAAAAGTAGAAGAGAAGAAAAGTAGAGGGAGAGTTTTTTTTTCAGACCCTTCCTGAGGTTCAGCTGTCTGCACCTCAAGGCCTTGTCCAGCTGGCACTGATGTCTTTGCAAATTGTTTTTCTTGGGGTAATTAAATAGTTTCTTGTCCAGAAAGCAGGCAGCTCCCCTTCAGAAGGTGTAATTAAGGTGAACAGCTCATTTCACTTGCTCTTGGGAGAGCTGGAGCTGCCAGGTGCTTCCCACAACATCCTCTCTTCATATTCTCTGTAAGTGCAGGGTTGACTTTTATCTGAGGGAATCCAGCAACTTTTGTCTTCTCCTCCTCTTCTTCCTGTTTCTCTTCCCCTCTCTGCCTGTTCCCTGAGTGAGACCAGCTTCCAGATGTCCATCCAGCTGTTAATTCTGCATCTCAGGCTGCAGGACTGACGGACATCTCTGACTCCCCCTGCCGCAGAGCCCCTTGGCACTGGGGCTACGGGCATCTTTACCCCTGGTTCTTTATGCTGAGAGGGGGTAAGAGCAGATGAGGAGGGTGTTTCAGAGCCTGAGCAGGGTGGACTTGAGCTCTGTTTTGGCTTGCAGAGGCTCGGGTGCATCGCTGTGTGTAAATCTCAGGGATGTTTTGGTTGTGTGTCAGAGAGCCGAGTTTTGCTGGCAGTGGAGGGAGCTTTCCCTGGGTTCACCTTGCCTGGCATTTAACATGCAGTTTCCTGACAGCTGCTGGAAGGAATAGGCGTTCTCTCCCTTCCACACTGACACTTTAGTCGTTTTTACGCTCTGCTCTCCCAAATCCAGGGGCAGAAATCGGATTCTTGCAGGAGCCATGTTTGTGCGCTCCCTCCCGGTAGCGATTCCAGCTGCTCCTGGAAGGGGAGGTCCCTGCTGCCTGTTGGAACTTCCCTGTGGCTGTCACTGCGGGTGACAGGGCTCTCTTGCTGCCCTGGGATGGAGCAGGAGATGTGCAGAGCTGGAGGAAGGGGAGGGCTTCCCCCTGTGTGGCCAGCCAAGGGTCACGTGTGGCCACTACTCCAGGACTTAAAAGTGTCGGGAAAATTAATCCGCAAACATCAGAGATTTCTCTCCAAAAAGGAGACAGAGGAGTGCTTTTACTTTATTCCAATAAAGGGAGAGCCAATAGGGCATTCCCCTGGGATCTCTCAGATTTTTGGAGGACACAGCTTCTTTTTATTATCGCTGGCAGGGGGGTTATTTACAGACCACGGAGGGGACAGGGCTGCTGAGGAACGTGCCTTGAGCTGTTTTATTTTCCAGCATCAGTCTCATTACTTGGTTATGACAATGGGAAGATGCCAGCAGCTCACATCCCAGGCAGCAGACCAAGAACTCAATGTTACAACTCACTTTATAAGCTTCTTGACCAATCACACAAAGCAAAAGCACATTGTCAATAGTTCTATCCAACCACTATAAGCACAGGTACCTTTGGTTAAACAATGCCTGCTTATTTCAAATACAATACCTGCTTGTAAGCCTTAAACACAGTGCAGAGAGCTCCATTATTAAGCTTCAACCTTCCTAATATCTTGCTAGATAAACTTTTCTGCTGCTTAGGGAGTTATTATAGACAAGAGTTAATACACAGACCATTGTCCTATTTGTCCTTGCTTTTCTACAGTCTAAATAATATTTCTGCTGACCAATCTCATGGCTGCTGCTTCACTCTAATCACAGTTCTGCTGTCTCTGGGGCCTGCCTTTTGCAGCTTTCCCAAAACCCTCTGATTTTGTGGATTCCCACATTTATCCCAATTTCCCAGCCACATTTCCCTCTGAAAGTGGTCACAGTCAGGATTGTGAGCCTGGATCTGGATACTGAGAGTGTAAAGGTGGAGGAAATGCAGCTGAATGAAAGACTGATTACCTAATACAAAATTGAAACTCAAACAAACCAAGAAGTTAATGTTGCAGCTGAACTCTCTGCTGGAGTGTGTCTGTCATAAAAACTGAAAAAACCACCAAACTGGCAATCTGGATTTAAAAAAAAAAAACAAACCAAACATATGAGTACTTAAGAAACAAAAATACAGGATCCTGAAGAGACACGTGTCTTGTAAATGATCATATAAAGAAACAGTAAAACACATGAAAGCTGGCTGTGAATACTACAACAATACCTTAATAATAATTCTTACCATAAAAATCTGAGAATTCACATTGTATAATCAACTTATCAACGGGAAGTATTGAAGGGATTAAGACAAGCTTTTCAAAGTATTCATATAACATTAACAACAATCATTATTTATCAGTATTACTTATAAAAACCAAAATTAACAAACATTACAAACTCATTACCAACAATCCCTGAAACTCTGAACCCCATTGGCTGAAGTACTTGAGAGGTTCAGACTTCCCAATACACTTGATCCCAAAGATTTCCCTGTAATGTACAACCCTCCCTTTTAATGTTTAATTCTTATGGAATTTAGGGGTTTTTCTTCCCCATTGTTTCTTTCATCTTTCAATGTCTAATTTCATTTATCAGCAAACCTAGAGTTTATTAGTAAAAGCAAATATCTTTTTCCATTCATCAATCAGTGGGATCCTTCCCATTGTTTCTTTTATCTCCCATTGCTGGTTGTATCTACCAGCAGACCCACAGCTTGTTTATAAAGACAAATCCACTATTCCTCTCAAAGGAAAAGGGACAGGATTTGGGAATATTCCCTGCTACTCTGTAAGGCCCTTATTTTATAGAAGAGGGATTCTGGAGCTAAATAATTTACCACTCTGGAATTCACCATTTTCCTGTTTGAGGGAAGAGGTCTTTTGCCCCCCAATGTGTTTTTTTTTTTTTTTAAACAATTTTCACTTATTTACACCAAATTTGGAAAATTAATATTTTGAAACAACCTCTCAAATTTCACATTGCTGTTTGAATACTGAAACACAGCAGACTAAACTAAACTGGATATTTTTTGTGTCCTTTAACCTCTTAGATGAGCCTGAACATGATGTCATTGTGGAGCTCTGTGTGTTTAGGAGGAGACAGAATTAAGTGGCCTTTGGCAACCTAAAATTACCATTTTATATGACCTGTGTGAGAAATTAATGTTCCAGGTTTACTTCTCTGTGAGGGAAAAGCCAAGTCTTAGATTAATTGAGAAGATAGTGTGTAATTTTTAAAAAATAGATATAAAATAAATAATGTAATAAACAGTGTGTGTTTATAATACATATAATATATATTTTATATATAATATATTATATATATAAGATATATAACATATAAGATATAAGATATCGTATGTTATATATCTTATATATAATATATATAAAAGTGAAAGATATATATAATATATAATATATATAATCTTATATATAATATATATAATATATATTATATATAATGTATTATATATATAATATATAATACATATATTAATATATAATAAAATAGATATTAAATAAATAATGTAACAAACAGTGTGTTTTTACATATGTGTATATATATAAAAAAATATATATATTATATATATATATAATTCACCTTAATTTTCAACCTTTATTCATTCTTTCTACAATTATCACACCCAAATAGATGCCAATTATGCAGTTGCATATTTATTTGCATAATTATTTGCATATTTAGCAGCAGCAGAGGCAGAATTATTTCCAGCATGACTTCCAGTAGCTGCTGGATAAAGGGTTAACTCCTTGCAACATGTTTGGAACAACAATAGGTGGCAGCAATCAAATGATGTTTGGGACATTCAGCTTAAAGAACTAAATTAAATTCACTGCTCTGATTTGGGCTTTACGTGTTCTGGTAGTAAATACTGGGGTTGTGCAGCAGATAAAAGGGAAATGAATAAATGTTTCTGAGTTTTGTGATGTCAGTTCATGGAAAGGAAGAAATTTACTTAAAAGTAGGATCTTGGCAAATGAAAGGACAAGATTTTGCAAATTGTTCATTGTCCAGCAGTATTTCAAAGGTGCTGGGCTGTTACACAGGCTGCTGATGTTAGAAAAATCCTGGATTTATAGCCCAGATTCCATATGATCACTGAGCAGTGTAGTTATTTCTGTGCATTTTCATATCAGTTGGAGAAACCTTCTTATCAGTTCTGTTTTTTAGTTTAAGGCATTTGGCAACATGGCAATTTAGGGTAGCAGCGATTTGCAGTAGGTTTTTTTATTTTATTTTTTTATTTGTGTGTTCAGAATGTTTTCATTATGTTGCTTTCCTTGGAATTTCAAATTACAGTTCTGCATGTTTAAGCTGCTAATAAAACAGGATGGCTTGGCTTTTGTTTCCAGCCTGACCTATTTTTTTTTTCCCTTTTCCATCTGTGTGAATGTCCCACATGTTTTAAATAATACAAGCTGATGAGAAGATACAAGTGAAACAGGGCTGCATTTGCGTGGGAAGGCTTTATAATGTGAGTTAGGAAAGCACAAAACCCTGATAATTTTTCACGAGTCACAAGTCCTTGCTGAGTGAATGTGTTTATTTTTGGATAGCACCACGA